GAGATGGCCCGCCCCGGCGGGGAAAGGCTTGAAGGATTACTGGGTTAACTGGCAACGAATCTGAAATAGCTCATTTATTGGAAGATGAATGTAGGTGCGTTTCGTAAGAGCCGCTCCCCGAACGGGACGCGCCTTAGAGCCGCAGCGAGCCCCTGCCCTTGGGCAGCACGCAGGTGAGCCCGCCCGCTGTAACCGGAGGAGGAGTCGGGTGTAGCGCTGCACGAAACCCACTGTGCCTAGTTCTGGCGTGTAGTTTTTTCCGAAGGCAGGAGAAATAGCCATACCTCTTTGCTGGTTCAAACATGGGGACGCTTTGTTTTTTAAACCAGCTTCAGGCGCAGCAATGCTGCTTCCATCCTTTTGCGCATAGGAATCAGTTAAATTGAGCACTTACCCATTACTCAGGACAGCTTAGGAATCTTAAAACTCTTAAAAATCAGTTGGAGAGCTCGGAAATGAACTGCTGTCGGTAAATTGCTCTTGTCAACCAAATGCACAGCAATCTTGCAATACAAAACCACAGAAAGCAGCTCATACTTCTCACGGGACAGGAGAAATGCACCAAAGCATTGCAGATAAAACCACAACCACTGTGAAAGCCTGAAAAGGGTGAAACAAACCCAAGTTGCACATTGACTACTGTGATCTCATATTTTGCAGATATCTGAACCGAATGAGTTTGACATCATGCTTGTAATGCCTGTTGAAAGACTTCAGCTGGATGAATGTGATGACACTGGAGCTTATTATTATCTAAAATTCAAAAGAAATCCAAAAGAGAAATATTTGTTGAAGTTTTTGGATAATGATGGGAAATTATCAGCCTTTAAAATGCTTCAAGCACTAAGAGAAATTATTAGACAGGAACTAAAAAACATTACAGGTAAGTACTTGGAGAACAAGCTTCACCTAGGAGTGCTAAAAATCCAATTCCGGCACACGTACGCATTGCACTGTTGTTAACGTGACTTTGCCCTCAGTCAGCTGTCCCGGCGTGCAAACCCTCCCATCCCCACTGTCTCAAATTTGCTCTTGTGCTAAGAACCACCACAAATCTGTTGGAGCTAATCATATTCTGTGGTTAGCCCATTGCTCCACTATGCAATCCTTTCCATATGAAAATAATTAATATTAAGGGTTCTCTCGCATGCTGGGGCTTTCTGCGTGACCTATAGATTGAGAAGTATGCCTGCCCTCTTAGGGTGCTCTCTTTCTTCGAAGCCTTGACAAACGTGGCCAAATCTCTTCAGTCTCAAGTGTTTTCAGCAGAAAAACAGTTCTTTGGAGAAAAAGTTACCCTATTTCTGATTCTGTAGTCACAGTCAACAGGGCAAACGCAGCAGTTCCAGAAGAGTGCTCCTAATTTCCATAGAGCTCTTCAACAGGCCACCTTAATGTTTTACTTCATATCCTGTAGGATAAAGAGCCAGTGACTGAACCCAGGTATTTCTTTTGACTGACTATAAATTTCTCTTAAGTAAAAACCTTAACATTCTTCCAAAAAAAGGTTTCTTCTAATATATAAATATATATAAATCAAATTTTTCTTTGTTACTAGGTGTGGAAATAACTCTGCAAAAGAAAAAGGCTGGAAGCCCTGCCATAACTCTTCAGATCAGAAACCCTCCAGCAGAAATATCAGTGGACATCATCTTGACTTTGAAAGTTCAGCAGAGCTGGCCCCCCAGCACGCAGGATGGCCTCAGAATTGAAGAATGGCTGGGAAGAAAAGTCAGGGGAGAGTTCAGAAATAAACCGCTTTATTTAGTTGCCAAACAAAACAAAAAGGAAAAGGTTCTAAGAGGTATCTAAGACAGTATCTTCTCTACAACTTAGTCACTTGGAGGTGCTATAAAGAGGGTATTCAGGTTCTGTATTCTGCCTTCGAGGTACAGATCTGTATCTGATCCTGGATTTGTGCAGGTCTCAGACAACTGAAATCCCTCTTTAAAACACTGGATTTGTGACACTGCTTGCCCTGTACTGAAATCTAAAGAAAAAATTGCTCTGCCAGGCTGCATGCTAACCACTCCTGTCAGATCTACTGGGTTGGACACATGCATATGTGCTCGTGCTGTAGCTAACAGCAACAGCCACTCCTTTGCTTCGTAAGGAGATCTCTAAAAAGGCAGGGATGGTACACCCAAGTGACATACTTCTGCAAGGAGAAAACCCTGCACTTTTCTAGCAAGACACATTATTTCTCACTGAACTCTGGTACGGCTACGTTGCTTTTTTATGAGAATCATCAGTTGTCATAATGCAGTGACAAGTTGGGATGTTGCTGCAAACTAACGCAGGCTTGGTGTTAGTTTGCAGCAACATTTCAACTTGTCACTGCGTTATGACAACTGATGATTTCAGGGGAAAAAAAAAAAGAGTTCAGGCAATCTGGTTTTGTTTTTTTTTTTTTCATTAGCATGTCCATCTTAACAATGCCAAATCAATCATTACTGCTCCACTGGGCTCTCTCTTCCTGTGAAAATTAAATGCCGTGAGTAACTGAACCCAACAGGCAAGGGAAATGGTCCAGTGTAGGAAGACAAAACCGATTGCTGGTGTTTTAAAAACCAGGCTTGAGCTAGGCTAATCACTGCTTTCAGAAACATTACTGGAAGAAAAATAAATACTTTAGAACAATCACCTTACCCGAGACACGCTCCCACGCACTTCACCTGCGGAAAGAAACTGAAACCCATGGAGGAGAGGGTCTTTTTTTAATTCAAAGCCAGCATGGTTACGCAGGGAGGTTAATAACATAGAAGTGCAAAGGTAGCGGATTTCTACGAGCAGTGTAATTCCCCAGATCCTGTTCAACAAATGCAGGGAAGTAAAATTAAAACTTAATTTTGAAGTGAATCCAAACATCCTTAAGAATGTAGTTTAAGCATCCAAACGATTAACTGTGTCCTATGTTAACAACATTCTAATTGTCTTCGTGTGGAGCAGCTGAGGAATTAACTATTAGTAGTCACCAAATAACTGGATTTTTTTAAAAGTGCAAAGAAGTTGCTGATATTTGAGTAAATTATGAAGTTTTGGGTTTTTTTCGTGATTACAAAGAGTGGTGCTTACTGCTGTGTAACGATTTGACCCTCTTGTACTTGACTCCAGGAGACACCTGGCGACTCTCTTTCTCCCATATTGAGAAGGCCATGCTGAACAACCACGGCAGCTCCAAGACGTGTTGCGAATCCGATGGACTGAAGTGCTGTAGGTTGGTATTTCATACGGGTATCCCGCTGTGAGCCTGGGCGAGCCAGGCTGGCGCTGTTGCACTGTTGAAGAATTTGATCTAAGGCTAACTGCTCACGACAGGGAGTCAGCGTAAGGCTTTCGGGCATTGTTGTTCCACGGCGGTACGACACAGCGTGTACTCGCTGAACGTCTGACTGGCGTTTACCCAGCGAGAGGTGCAGACAAATTACACTGCAGGTTTACACTCCAGACTTGCCTCAGAGAGCAAAAAGATGCTACTCGTTAAATAATCTTGCCCGAACTCAGTCTGCTGTAGAACCAGCTTAAAAGTCTGATGAGTCACCTTTCTGAGCTCTGGCAGCAAAACTGCACCTCATACCAGGGCAGTTTCTGAAAGGATGGTGAGAAAAGAATTGCTGGATGGGATCAGCGTGAATAAATGTGCTTTTTTTTACTCCAATAAAAACTGGTTTCCACATTTCTTAGAAAAGAAAGAATATAACAGACATGAGGCAGAGCCTCCTTCGTGGCAAACTGATGCTTGGTTTGCGTACTTACACCCTGTACTGAATCTGTGTGCAACAAACATCCTTGGGCATGCTACACCCCGACCTCGCAGCGCGTTCAGCTAGACCCCTTCCCTGCATGGCGTGCCGCGGGAGCGCGGCGGCACTTCCTTCTGTGTAAACCCAAGCCAGGAGGGCAGCTTCAGCCTTCAGCCGTGCTCCAAGCGCAGGTTACCCTGGTAGCAGCTGGGAGATTCTGCTGAGCGAGCACGCTGCCCCGAGCAACGCAGACATCCAGGGAAAGTGGTGTCTGCACAAGAGTAGGAATCCTTCGTTGCTAGAACCTGCCTTCACACACAACTAGTTCAAGGATTATCCAGCCTGTTGCTGCGCTGATTTACATATTTCATTCAGAATATTACTGAAAACATAATTCTGTGAGAACATTTTTATCGCTTCCACGCATTAACGTGTACTTAAAATACGTATTTAGAACCATGTAGAAAGTACCTAATAAATTCTCTTTTATTTAACAGGAAGGGTTGTCTGAAGCTTCTGAAGTATCTTCTAGAGCAACTTAAAGTGAAACATACAAAACAGTTGGAAAAAATCTGTTCATATCACATTAAAACTGCTTTTTTCCACTCGTGTGTCGTGTGGCCGAACGACACAGACTGGCATTCAGGGGACCTGGATCACTGCTTTCAGAAATATCTGGGATATTTTCTGGATTGCCTGCAAAAGGTTCAGCTGCCACACTTTTTTATTCCTCAGTACAACTTACTCAGCCGGGAAGATAAAGCGAGTAGCGACTTCCTTTCAAGACAAATAAACTATCAGCTGAACAACGGGTTCCCGATATTTTACGAGACGTTGTGAACAGCGTTAATACAACCGTCTCGTCACGTGAACTTGTTCTGCACCTTAAGTTACTCCTCAGCAGTCCGATACTGCCATAACCAAACCAAGAACGTTAAGAGAAGGTTGCGTCCTTCAGTCACACCACTCAGCCACAGCCCTTAGAAGAAACAGCATGTTTTAAGGAGCGTTTCTCTTCCCCATCCAAATGCAGATGTCACCTGCAAAGCATTTCCAAGGTATATGAAGAACATATGGAAGAATTTACAGTAGTTCGTTTCTCACGTGTAATTTCTACAGTTCCAAACAGAAAGGCATCCGTGACTGCATAAAGCGAGAAACGTCAGTTTTATTTAAAATGAAGATCTGCTGCAGGAAATCTGAGATACACACCTGCTTTCAAAAAGATAAAAAAAAAAAGTCACTGGAGCTCCTTTGACAGAAACCACAACAACTACTCCAGATCGGCTGGCCGGATGAAGACCTTTTGCAGAGGCCAAGTGCCAGCAAGAGTGAACAGAGAGAGAGAATGTGGTATGAAAATCATATCCCTGAAGTGGTCTCCGGAACTGCTTTGGAAATTAAGACTAGAATCCGGACAGGAAACAATCATTAGATAATGTGATGCAACAGCGTAAAAGTTAATGTGCCAATGAGCATTGTAGACAGAAGGGTATCTTGAGCGTGTATCGAGGAGGAATTCTGCACGTGAAAGGTTATCAAAACCAAAACGCAGCATGAGTCTGATATTCTGAGAACCAGAATTCAGCCCCATTTTTCTTATGCTGAAGAGTACGTGTGTTAGGAAAAAATAATATTTCCTATTGTTTTGTTGTGCAGGTGATAAAAAACCAGCATTTGGGACCTGATGTGCTGGAAGTAAATACATCTTTTGCTTTTCCTCAAAAGAAGTCCACGATTTTAGCCTGTTTTTTGAACGCACAATAACCTATTGGCTTAAATAATGCCCAGATTTCACCTCAGTTATGAGCAAATAAAAAAAGAGGGAAGGCTAGAAGAACATTTAGAAAGTAATTTTATTAATATATTCTCATCTCACTGGATTCAATTTATTAGTTTTTCCATTTACTCATATGACACATGAGTAAAAACAAGTTCAGACCAAGTGTCAAATGAGGGAAGAGCTCCTCCTTCCCACGTAACTTCCAGAGGGTGAAAACATACCCCATTTTAACAAGCAGTCTGTGTGACTGAACCGGGCATCCACGTGTAAAATGTGAACTGACCTTATCTTCAAGAAATTAAACCTGACATTCAAATGTGGTTTTTTTCCTTCATGACTTTGTTAACGTTGCTCTAGTAAACTCTGGTTTTCCTCCTTAAGCTAGCGAATTACATCCATGAGAACAACTGTTTATTGTCCTCAGTCAGCCACAAACACACCTTGTTATGCTCTCCTCCAGTAAGAGGAAATGCAGACTTCTCTCAAAAAAAAACTCAGACACAAGTTCTCTCAAAAAAAGCTCAGACACAAAAATTACTTTCAAGGTTAAGCTTCTTTTAAAACAACCAAACAAAAGACACCCTTGCTTCGGCAAACACCAGTTACTGCAAACAGAACAGTTGTCAATTACATGTTATCTCTGGAAATACTTCTGCACGCCACTGGCAGATGTGGCATGATCGATGCAAAAGTGCAGTATTTTGAAGGCCCACTGACGAACATTGCTTACGTTCACTAACCCACTTCTCTGAAAATAAAAGGAAAAGTTAATCTTTTACATTCTTATAGATTAATACTGCATTAATTAATTAAAAAAAACCCCCATCAAACCCACAATATCTGTTTTTAACCGGCAGGTGACGACTTTAGAAGCTCGTGCACATCGCACAAGATAAAACAATTCATTTTTCTTAGTGAAAAGTGTCCACACACAAAACTAGATTTATTTCTATATAAAGCTAATCCAGTTGTTGTTGCTGGGGTTTTTTTTCCCCCTTCCCCAAACCCACTTTTTAAACCACATTTTATTTAAATAGCACAGGTACAAAACCCAACCCACCAAGAAGAGAAGCTCCTACACTCAAGCCCTTAGGTGCTAACACTAACTATAATCACTCACTCACTTGGCTGCTGTCACTTCAAGGGGTTACAGATATTTTGAGGGCTTTCTCTGAGGTCTTGGTGTACCTTTTTCCATTTCTTTTCTGATTTGAAATTGTCTGTATCTTTCTGCCATCGCAATAAGCTCGTTAGGAACTACCTGATAAAAAAACCAGCACAAGGTCAGGTTTAAATAAATCTAAACTCTTAGACTCAGCTTTACAAAAATGCTACGACTTGTGTGTTCCCCAACATGACTTTGTTATTTAACTGGCTCCTGTCGCTTCGCAGATTGTCTTTTTCCATAGAGGTGCATGGAGAAATCTTTTTACATAAACATACTGAAATATCCTGAAAAATAATCAGCACAGTGTCCCTGGATTTCCAGCTGTATGTGCATCCTAGTATCACAGTCTCTGATGGCAACACATGACCAGCTAACTAAAACTGCTGTGTTTCAGACAGAAATGATCTTTCAGTGATAAGGAACAGCTGGAAAACGTGTCCAATGCCACTAAAAAGGTGATACCATACTATATAAACACTTGAATGTTACACTTATGATTTATATTCAATCCCTTTTGGAAGTTTTAAGAGCCTGTGAAGAGAAACTTTGGCACTTAAGAAAGCGTTGCCATAGGAAGGGTTCTCACATGGATAAAACAAAGCTGAAAGAGGAGAAAAGGGCAGGAGAAAGGGGTCAGTTCTCCCACCACCAGGGGGTCACAGAAGCATCTTGCCAAGATCCAGAGCTGGCATGTTTATAATTGCGTGGAAAAGGAGGTGAACAGTGTCGTCAGCACATCTGTCACCTCATAGCTATGTCTGTAAGGACTGAGGCCAGAGGCAAAGAATTACAGACGGACTTTATTAGGTTGGGTGACCCTGACCACTGAATGAAAGGCAAAAAACCCAAATATATACCATTCCTACGGTTCATGGTAAAAAATGTCCACCAAGTCTTCCGAAACGCAGACATTACTCAATGTTTACTGCACAAAGCAGTACAGGTGGCTGTACTGTCACAAGAGGCTTTAGATGACTAATCTATCAAAGCCAGCCTGCTTCAACAACCTGCTACAGCACCTAGCCGTGCAGCAGGTAGATCTCCAGCCCAGAACCAGTTTCCCAACCCGAGAGTGAAGAGCAGGCTGCCACAGTGCGTGCAAGCATGGTATTAACGCGCCTGCTCGGCCTCTCTGGTCTGTCCTCCGCAAGCAGTGCAAGCACAGTGCAAACAGTTATGGCAGAAATTAAATACTGTCGAGCCTCCTTCGAACTGCCAGGACCTGGCGGTGCTGGAGCAGGTGAAGAACGCAGCCAGGACAAAGAGCCTGGTGGAGCAGGAAGGTATATTCCTCCACTTCCAAATTCTTTTCATAGAATCACAGAATGGTTTGGGTTGGAGGTGGGACCTTAAAGACCATCTAGTTCCAACCCCCCTGCCATGGGCAGGGACACCTTCCACTAGACCAGGTTGCTCAAAGCCTCGTCCAGCCTGGCCTTGAACACTTCTAGGGATGGAGCATCCACAACTTCTCTGGGCAACCTGTTCCAGTGCCTCACCACCCTCTCCAGGAAGAATTTCTTTCGCCAGGCTTTATAGTTTGGCAGTGCTCGACATCTGCTATCAGCAACTTCTCTTAACCTGCCATGAGCGTCACCCCGCTACTACATGCAGCGAACAACTGCCCTGGCTGTCAGGAGTCTGCCAAACAGGATGCCTAAGGAACAGTCATTCTGACTAAGTTTTAGGCATTCCTTAAAAATAAAGTGGAAAATGATGCACCGCTCTAGCTGAAAGTCACTAGAGACCTGTATCAATAGAGATGGAAGTAATGAGACAACGCTACTATCCAGTGGAAACACAGAGTAATTTCCTTCCTTGGTATCAGGCCAGATCCTCTCCTACAGCATGAAATGGAATTTATTCCAACCGAAATGGCAACAATTTATTGCCAGAGTGGTTTTTGAGCAGGCACAAGGAAAAGAGCAGGAAGAAGCCAGGGTATAGAAAATAAAAATCTCAGTGAGGTAATATCCAGTGTCTAGTGGTTTGTTTAGGTTTTAACATGGACAGACTGCGTATCTGCTAACCATACAAGCTACGTGTGTACCCCAAATGAGACAACAGAAAAGGACAGAGATGCTTTAATTAACATGTAACGCTATTCTTGGTATTACACAGATCGATATTTTTCCACCTCACTTCCTAACGGATCTGTGCTTGCTTCTTAATAAGCTCACATATAAAGATCCCTGTAGCATGATACAGAAATCTTTCTATTGCATCTGGGTTTTTTTTAGGTTTTTTTTGAACATCTGTATGTTCAACAGCATCTGGCTAACAAATGCACCTTACTTGTTTTGACATGGAATCATTCTGAAGCCGCAGATCCTATTACCAGTTACTCTCCGTCCCTTTTACATGATGCTTAAAGGCTGATCATAAGGAAAAAAAACCCCAAACAACCCTGCCTTCATGGATACTTTCCTTTTATCAGCTCTAACTGAAGGCCTGAGAGTAATGTTGTGACTAACAGTTCCCCTTGGAAGTAAGGATTCAGAGATGCTCTTCTCTCCTCTGAACTCAGAGACACGTTCTCGGCAGAACAATCACACATCAGAAAAGTCTGAGAGCTTCACAGTCTGCAGCAGGGGACAAGGTGCCTCAGAATACAGAGCAAGGCACCTCTAAGCTCTACTTCAGTGCCTTCAAAGTATCACTACTAGTTTCATCTCTCACATTTTACAGAAAAAAACCCCAAACTAACACCATAAACCAAAGTCAAACCCCAAACAAACCCCTCAAATCTGCACGTTTAAGAAATTGTTAGGGGACAAAGGGTTTTCTTAAATTTCCTTTTCCTCCCCCAAAAGCCTCTGATCAGATTTGCAGTAAGTGGCATAACATCTTCAAAAGAAGGAGTTGTAACCCAGAAGGTTTAGGTGAAGTTCTAACTCAGGGTTTGAAGTCGGAGTCAGTGTCCACAATAGCAACTACAGGTCCTAGGAAGAAGCAATTTAGTTTGTCCTCATAAAACGCCCATTCCACCCAAAAAAACAACCCCAAACAACAAAACAAATTTTAAGAAGTTTCAAGTAAAGTCAGGGCATGAACTGGGGGTTTACTGTAAGCCAGGCAAAATACTGCTTCTTGTTACAACAAGAAACAGCAACATGATTGTCTCTGGCTTCTTAGATATGGTAGCAAGGAAAAAAACGTTTCTTTAAAAGGCATCGATCACATTCCAGTCCTATTTCCCATACTGTTTACAAACATCTGCAAGAAAGATAACTTGGAAAAGTACATGCAGGTATCACCACTGTCAGACACAATGAATGATGGATAATCGAGCCATTTCTGACATTGACACTGTTAGTATTGACACTGTTAAGCAAGAACATTGGTCCGTGCATCCAGAAGTGAACTACAAATGGAATAAAATCCTATGAAATAAAATAGATCCTGTTATTCCTGCAGACCTCTATGTGCATGTATCTTAGTTACTTCTTCTTTTGATGTGGAAGGCTTTAATCAAAGTTCCTGGTTCTTTTCTGGCACTCAACGGTAAGGTAAAATACAGCTAAGGATATCCAGGACAAGAGAGACTTAAGTACCCATTTTTTTGCCCCAGACACTATAAAAACTCACCAAGAAAGGTCTAAGTAAGCTTAGACCTTAATGAACTGTTTCAGGTGGTAACCCAGAACCAACATAAACCTTACCCAGTTCAGTGAATTCTTACTTGGTTTGCTCTTTCCAGAATTTCAATCAGCTCAGATGCAACCCTCCAATCACTCTTGGTGACAAGCGTTACTGCCTTCCCAGTACGCCTAAACAAGGAATGAAATAACTGTTGAACTTCCAAACAACCACTGCTAGGCTCTTCCTACTGCCCCATACAGCAACACATTGTACTACAGGCCCTATTACTGAGCTGGTAGACAGAACTGGCTTGAGCAGTCGCTACGCACACGACGGAAAACAGCTTTTCATAAAGCCCAGAATATGGCAATTCACCTAAAATGGAGTAAAGGCACAACTCGCTTTTAGACAAGTATGTTGTCTTTATGCTAGGCTTATTAAGTATGAAGGCACCCATCGTATTCATATCATGATTAAAATTAACACATACACAAGAAAAAACACACTTGTGCCAGCCTGGGAAAGCAGCGTTCAAAAGCCTTAACACCAAACTACACCACGACAGGCTGAAAACTTTGAATTTATGTGTGGTTCCTCCCCCCCCCCCAGTGGGCTGTCTAGGAAACGGAGCAACTCAGCAGCTCGCAAAGAGACAAGCCAGGAAGTGACATTTTGGAGTACCTACACAGAAGTTGTTTTGAACTGTCATTCTTCCCCACATTTACATCAGCTTCCAAACATCCCTCACTCCCATCCATGAAGTAATGGAACACCAGCAAACTTGTTTGCATTAAACTAACAGTGAACCAATTTCAAAACATAACGCAGTGCTTTATTATCTAAAACACACCCTGACAGGCTCTGGAGCCTTCGCTTCCCCACAGCTCCAGCATTTGACAAGAGAAACACCTATGCAGCACAGAAAATACTGGCAATACATTGCTGCTTTCTTGCAAACACTTACCCTGCTCTTCCGGTACGACCTACTCTATGGACGTACTCCTCAACGTTGCGAGGGAAGTCAAAGTTGAAGACGTGAGTAATATCATGCACATCAAGGCCACGGGATGCTAAGTCAGTAGCTACCAGTATTCTGACTTTGCCTAAAAGTACAACAGAAAGAGAACGGGAGCTTACGGAATAAACAGAAAACATACTCCAGTTTATGGGTTTTGTGGCGTATAATGCACTTGTTCTTAACACAAGAAGGATAAATATGCTTGTTGCACGTCACACTGAGTTAGCTTCGAATGGCAGGTAGTAACTAAACACTCAAACCGTCATTTTATTATTACTTGCATTTCCCAAACAGAACAGCAGGGTGCAGAAGAACCAAGAAACATGCCTAGCTAATACAAAAGAGTGTGAAAGACACAGAAACTTCAACAGCGATATTCTCAGCTGGCATCCTCACCACGGGACTGCTCTTTGTTTCGTCAGCATGTGATCACATAACCCCGAAGTATAACCCTACTGGCATAATCATGAGCAGAACCGTTTCACTGAAAGCACCATTTCACGCTTAAATTTGTTGTTCCGTAGACTAAGAAAATATTGACTTTTCCACAGAGATTTCAAAAAATAAAATAAGCCTTAAATTATTTAACTGTTAGACCGTCCAAATTTTATTGAAGAGCAATCTGCATTTGTTTGCTGGGCGGTTTGCTCGTCAAATTAACAAAGTAAGCACATCATTCAGGAACCTAATATATTAATTTCTAAGGTACTGAAGAGACATGGCACTGGCAAACAGACAAACTTCTGCACACGACAAGCTTTGAAAACCTGGGCTAACCAAACCAGTACTTAGGTACAGACGTACCTTGCCTGAAGTCATCTAAAGCCTGTTCTCGATCACACTGTTCCCTGTTACCATGAAGTGACTGTACTGGAATTCCTTGGAGACCAAAGTCGCTTGCTAAGTCATCAGCTCTAGGGGGAAATAACACAATGGTTCTTAAAAAGAAAGAAAGAAAATCCCCAAAATCCAACCAAACCAAAAAGACAATAAAGGTGCAGCATCCAAATGTAGATCCGAAAGGTAATGAAGTGACAACAAAAGCTAAACATGTGCCTAAGGGAAAAAACCCACCTAGGTCAGCTGATATTCATAGAATCACAGAATGGTTTGGGTTGGAAGGGACCTTAAAGATCATCTAGTTCCAACCCCACTGCCATGGGCAGGGACACCTTGCACTAGACCAGGTTGCTCAAAGCCTCATCCAGCCTGGCCTTGAACACTTCCAGGGATGGGGCATCCACAGCTTCTCTGGGCAACTTGTGCCAGTGCTTCAACACCCTCTCCAGGAAGAATTTCTTCCTGATGTCTAATCTAAACCTCCCCACTTTCAATTTAACCCCATTACCCCTTGTCCTGTCACTACAGGCCCTTGTAAAAAGTCCCCCCCAGCTTCCTTGTCGGCCCCTTCAGGTACTGGAAGGTGCAATAAGGTCTCCCCGGAGCCTTCTCTTCTCCAGGCTGAACAAGCCCAACTCACTCAGCCTTTCATCATAGGAGAGGTGCTCCAGCCCTCTATATTTTCGTGATAAACAGTAGGAATGCAAAATTATTCCCCACATAAAAGTCACCTGTTATTTCTCGTGTATATAAATAAAAGCAAACACCTGTGTTTTTCACTCAAAAAGCACAACCATCACACTCTGCATCAGTTCTTGCATGTACTAGCTGCGTAGGCAAGCCAACAGTACATCCCATTAATATTTCCCTAAGAATCTTAACAGCTACTTTAACTGTGTTAAATTGAGATTTTCCACCACCACACACGGTATTAAAAAGGCCACAAACCACCAGTTGATCTGGAGGAACGAATGAATAGATAAATATACTGCTACGGCACAGATGTTGATGACAAGGGGCTGTTACACTTGGCAATTATTATGCAAACTATGGAACTATCCAGTATTTGTGTTAGGAACAAATGAACAGACGGAGTACTGGGAAGGATTACGTACGTAAGTTTTTTTCCCACAAAAATGATGACCTTATCTTTCGGTTTCATCGCCTGAACAAAGCGCTGCATGAAATCTCTCTTCTCCTCCTCAGCAATAACAATAACTTTCTGTTCTACTGTATTTACTGCCTGTGAAACATCAAAAAAGGTGTGTTAAGCAGAAACAGATCAGAATAGTATTTTTTTCTGTAAATTCCTATATTATGGTATAAAATTAGTAATATGATACCACGAAAAACTATTTTAAAACCAAAATACGTACCAGTTTGGAGTTCAAACAATACAGATGTATTTGTTGTTTCATACTTACTTTGGGAGAACAGTAAAATTTATCTTTAAGCAGTTTGCCAAATCATCTCTTTGCAGAGATTTAAAGGGCACAGATAGCAGACTGGTGAGGTGAAATACATATTCACAGTATTAGTGAAGAATCAGACTGAAGTACTGTGCTGGATTCAGTCAGAAGGAGTTAACTCTCTTTACCCGGGCTGCTAGGAAGCTGTTCCTGGATGCAGAGAGCAGCACTGATCAGTTCTCAGCTGGCGCTGGGGAATGCCTGCACTGAATTCAAGGTCTTTCTCCCCTTCTGATCCTGCAGCTGCATTCCCAGCTCTCGCTGTCTCGCTACAGGCAGTGCTGGGACACACAGTTCAGGCACCTGACCCCAACTGACCAAGGGAGTATTTCATTCCATAGTACGTCGTGCTGGGGGCAGAGGCGAGGAGGGGGTCCGGGAGCCATTACTCTCTCCCTGACTCTCTCTGGTTCACTCCCGTACGCCTGCTAATCCTCACCCTGACTCCTGCGTTAGCTGCTTCGCTAACTCCTGTGCTGGCTGGTTTGTGAGGGAGTTGGTGGGTTTGTTTAGTTTTCCTGGTCGTGCTATCGCTGATAGGGTTCGCTCGGAATCTGCTGCCATAGCTCTTGGGCTCCAGACCTCAGGCTGCGGCTCTCGGGCTCTCTGGGTCTGACTCTCCCTACTCAACACCTGTTGTGCATTGGTCAGTGGGTGGTGAGAAATCGTATCATTATTGTATCTTATGTTTTATTTTCTATTATTTTAATGATTTCTTTTTACTAGTACTTGTCTATGTTAATTTAGATTTAATTAGCAAATAGTTCTTATCTCAATTTTACAAGCTTCCTTATTTCTTCTTCCTCCGATTCTCCCCCTACACTGGAGGAGGATTTGTGAGAGCGGCTTCGTAGTATTTTGCTAGCCGGAGTTAAACCGTGACAAGTACTAAAATATAAGTGTATTTTATGTTAATCCAGAGCAAACTGGAACAATGCCAGCCTTACTTGAAAGGACAACCCTTTAAAGAAGATTCTCATCTATTCAAAATGATCACTTCTGTCCAATTCTTCCAACAACAGTTTGTTAATAAGAAACTTGACTCCACTGTATCCGAAGGGTGCCACAGAGTGTCTAATGTACACTACATAAGTAGCATAAAGATCTATACGTTCTCATGGCACTGCAACATAATGTTGTGGCAAGGGCTGAAGAATTAATCGAATACACAGAAAGATTCTCTCTCCCCACAGGAACCCTTTCCCCTAGGTCACTTCTTCAGTTAAGAGAAGCTGCTGTAAGAGACAAATGCATTAGACAAGAGAGCTGAAATAGCAGTTGATGCCTTTCACAGGATCACAGAATGGTTTGGGTTGGAAGGGACCTTAAAGACCACCTAGTTCCAACCCCCCTGCCATGGGCAGGGACACCCTCCACCAGAGGTTCAAACTCCAATTCTCTGTCTTCAACAAAAGCACAGCTCTGAACAGAACAGACAAGAAGTACATTTTTTCCCTATTTCTACGTAAAAGGTTATTTGATACTAACTTTCCTCATTCCCTATCACCAGAAAAGTGGAACTGAAAAGGAAAATTTCATAATTTAAGAACCAAACTCAAGGCCATTTCTGGACCAGGATGCAGAGATCCTGGAAGAACTATTTCCTAAAGTCTGCTGGTGCTGCAGCCAACTACACACAGCTGCACAAGCATGTCAAACATGCAATTACACCTACACACTACAAGTTTCGGACTTTAAAGACAGTTGTTACTCTAACATCCAAGTTCCTGCCCTAGACGAGTGCCCTCCAGTTTAGTAGAGAGCTTCCACTCTCTTTGAGAAAGCAGCAGTCAAGAAACACAGGTCCAGAAAAGGAGCTGTACGCATCAGAAAGACGACCTTCAGAAAGAAAAGTAAGGAAGGAACAAGAATTTGCTCAACAGCAGTGACGGCTGCAAAAAAAAAGGTTCAGGCCGGAACACGTGGCACTGTGAAGTACAACATTCAAACTTCAATTTCATTGATACATGTGGCTTATGATATCCTCTACTGAAGATCCAGGACTTCAAGATCTTGTTACAGAAAAACAAGAGTGTTATTTTCTATTTTATTATTATTTTAAAGCTTCATTAACAGTTTAGAAAGAACTAAAAGAAAAAAAAAAAGCTATTTTTTGAATGTTTGGATTGATTTTGAAGTTACATGTATTTGCTTACCTACAGTTACAAGCAAAATATTTCCCAGTTTAACCGTAGGTTCTTCTCCCAAACAAAGTGAAAAAAAACCCCGCCCCATCAAAAAACCAGAACAACTTACTGCTAAGTCCAGAGTGCCAACATATACTATCATAGGGTTTTTCAAATAGGATTTTGCTAGGCGACGAACACCATGAGGCCAAGTAGCGCTAAACAGGAAGTGAAGAGGAAGCAAACTCATGAGAAGAGCACAAAGTCTTGTCCAATTCATAATTTCATCACATTCTCCTCTCTTTACTCTCTTATACATCAGTGAAACACTTGAGCAAGCAGTGACAGTAGTGAGCTTACGTAACATTGAGAAATAATCTTAAGAAGTCATTTGTAAACAGCACTCAGGCTTTAAAGGTAACTTTCTAGGTTAAAAGTAGAGGCAACAGTTATGAAGTCTTTCTAAGGAAGCCAAAAGTGAGTTTAGTCGTTCAATGATACCCAGTAAGAAATTTTCTAGTCTGTTTTTATCTTCAAAACAATAGCTCTAATGTAAAACACAGTAATCAAAATTATTGTTGGGATATTCTATTGTTAAGCTCCCAAAAACTGCCTCATTTCCAAATCAGTCCAGGTACAGACTAGCACAGATACTCATCAGAAGGTTAGGATACGCGTTTGGTCCCAAAAGTAGAAGTGGAAGTTGGCATTTCAAATTGATATGCAAATTCCAGCACTCCCAGGACACCTTCGTTCTTGGGTAGAACTCAGTTGTTTATACAGCTGATGTATAGCCTCAGAAACAGAGCAAGAAGTTAAAGTGTAATTGTCAAATGACTTAACAGGACAGACTAGACAATTAGAGAGAAGACTGATGCCATTCCATTCAGGCTAGTAAAAGTCTTATTAAAACGGACACGTTTGTTTTGAAGTTAACTCATTCGATAACCCTATGCTTACAGTGCTCAAGCCCTGTAGATCATTACGTGCACATACCTTGTCATAACGGTTTGTCTGTCAGGCCGCACGTCTATTAGGATCTTCATTATCTGAGGTTCAAATCCCATATCCAACATCCTGTCGGCCTCATCTAAAACCTGCTCAAAACAGGGTTATTTTTCGCATCCAGTTCCTTAGAGAAGGATTTCAGCAAGACGTCACACAACGGACCATTTTAATGGTAACAATCTCAACTGCAGAATCTACTCCCTGATGTACTGCAAAATCCACTCAGCTTCTATTTCGCCTCTTCAATTTCCTTGAAGCTTTTTCATTTAGCAATACGTTTGCAGGCAGAACAAGGAAATCCACAGCCCCTTTTAGAGCACTTAAAGTCAACAAAGAAACAAGCTGCGTGCTTTTGTTTTAACAATAATTTGGTTGGTGCCTAAAACTGAGCACAGAATTTAAAAAAGCAACCAAAAAAAGCGCCAACCAAACCCAGGGGAATGCACTTTCAGCAAGAAATTTTTGGCAATTTAAAAGGGGAAATCTTATTTCTGCCTTGTTCAAGCTCTCATACCAGACCAAAATACCAGTTATCAATTTAGTTCCTCATCAGTAGTAGAGAAAAAGTCAGACTGGACATTCTGGCTCATACCAGCACACTGCAGCAAACCCATTTCGTCTGGTAAAAAACACCAAGAGAACAAGTGAGCTGAAGGCCTGAGTACAACCGTTTGGAGCTGATATTTTTTCCTAATATACAAGCACACTGGCGAACGTTTTCAGGGTCTCATACAAGGGAAGAAGGCTGCTGCCATCCAACCCTCGTTTTTCCTCTTCTTATTTACATAAACCCTAGTTGAAAATTAAAGTTATACAGGTCAGGCTTTTGAGTATTAACATTTTCTAGTCACTTATGTGGAAACCTAAGACTGAGGATAATCCCTTGATTGATCCCTGATGATAATCTACTGCCCTAATTTTGCTGTTCCATTCTGTTCTGATGTTTTATTCTATTAAAGTTTTTTAGAACATTATCCACGTAAATCTCTGAAATACTAACAAATCTTCAGCTGAGAGACAGATGACAGGATTCTACTTCTTGATTTAATTCTCTGTTTTCCAAGGACTCACAGAGGTTTCGTTAACTACTTAGATACAATGGCAACGATAAAGCATCACTAATTTTGTATACAGAGTTGGCTCCTATGCCCCTTCCAGCAGCAGGAGCTTTCTCAGCTATTAAGCACACTGGTGCTTGGGTGGAAGGGAGAAGAAAGCATCTAAGTACACCTATTAGGTGGATCAGAGTAGTTGAAGTTTACTCTCCTTTCTTCTGATAGCTGTTTAATAAAGAATGAAGGCTGTATTAGATATAATAAAAATATTAGCACTATTTTTTCCAAACACTTCGTAGCCAGGTCCTGGCTTATAAACTAAATCTCCCACCAGCTGTCATAATGTTAGGTTTCCTGTTATCTACACATATTTACTTGTTTGTTAATACTGTTAGGTTCAGTTCTATTTCTTGGCAAGGAATTCTTACAAGCCAGCTCTTCATGTGAAAATTATTTTCTCTTCTCTGTTTTAAATTAGGTATTGGTATGTTTTACACTTTTTTTTTTTTAATTTGAAGAATAAAAGGACTATTCCAATCTATCTTCTATATCCTAATTCATTATTTATATATATTTATTTTTTTAAAGTATACTCTTTACCCCAAAACACTTCCCAATTATTCATGCACAACTCCAATTTCCTTAGCTTCTCCCTTATCAGCATAAGGTCAAAAGGAAAAAGCACTCGGATCACTGATGAATGAATGCCAATTTATAATGAACCCAGCAAACCAGGAGGCAATCTTCAAATGACATGTCCTGTAAACAAAAGGCCATATATGACAGAATTTTCTAGTCTTTCTTCTCAAGTAATGAAAAACAGCAGCTTATCTTGAATAACTGGGTTACTAAAAATCTAAATCAAGACTGCAACTAACTTGATGGTCTGTCAGGCAAGCAGACAAATTCTCTGCCTCCCTGTACACCCTGTGTACAGTGTATATTCAAATATAATCAACTCTGTTAAGAGTTTGGGGGTTTTTTGTTTGTTTTTTAAACAAACAATTGTTTCCCAGCCCCTAACCTTGGAAGTCCTTTGGGAAACAATTATACCGTACCAGAAAACGATACTCAGTGCACTTGGGAAGCATTCACAAGACTCATCAACATCTTTAAGTGAAAACTGTAAATAAAGCTCTTCATTGAATACTCTTCCTCATCCGAGGTGTTAAAAGTTGAAATCTAATATCCCTCTATTTTCTCTGAAATAAGGCTGCAAAATTATTTGTTGGCTGAAAATTGACAACGAAGCGTGGAAACAAAAAGCATCGTATATATTAAAATGTAAAGGAAACTACAAGGAAAACAACCCAACCATATTAAAAATATGAGACCTAAAGACCTTGCATTTCCAGCAAGCTTTGCCATACACTGTCCTTGCACCGGCTTCAATCTTCTGAAAATATTTAGGTGCTAGTGGTACAACAATTGTTTTTCTTCTGCTTTACCTCAAATACTTCCATTTGATAGTTAATTCTTTTTAGTAATGTCATACTATAGTGTATCCTGCACATACTGACACATCTGACTTTGGCTACATATTCTTTGCTTTATAGAACAGTGTGTGCTTATAGTATGACCATACTTCACCTTGGCAGGGAAAGATTACGATTCTCAGAAAGCAGGTGTTCAGGCCTTTCCTCCTTCTCAGCAATTACATGTTACTCTTTTACATGAGGCTACTCTCGTCTTCCAATAATGTCGGTTTTTTTCCAGACGGCCTTTTTTCCATCTAATGATGCTATACCACCAGTGGCCTTGCCAATAGGATCACAACTATTAGCTAGAATTGGAGCTAATCTGTTTCAGCATAATGAGTGTTTAACCCTTAAAAAGGAAGGTGGGTGGAGATAAGGGAGGGAAAGCAGGCCAAATTGTCAAACTAGCCAAAAATCACCAGTTAAACACACAGCTCTCAACTAATTTAAATATATGAAAGTGTTTTATAAAATAGCACTGGTTTTAAGTGCCCAGGACAGCAAAAGGCAAGAATGAAATGAAGACATAAGGAATCACATAACAGTGTTTACAGAGCTCTTTTCCCACTGAGGTCAAAAGAAAGTCAGTCACTCAAACATTTGAGTATCTAACTGTTTGTGACTCTGGTGCTTACTGCACAAGTTCTAATAAGAACCTGAGTCACCAGTAACCTTTAGGAGGAAAGGCATTTCACCTTGATAAAGGCATTTCATCCATTAGTAACTGATCTTGCCAAAATGAACTTTAAACCAGCAAATACTACCAATATGAGACAACAGTTCAGCATCTTTAAAGCACTTACTGTGCTAGAAGCCTATTTTGTTTTCTTCTAGGGCATATTCCACATCTGCAATGCAATTATTATAGAATCATGGAATGGTTTGGGTTGGAAAGGACCTTAAAGACCATCTAGTTCCAATCCCTCTGCCATGGGCAGGGACGCCTTCCACTAGACCAGGTTGCTCAAAGCCTCGTTCCTCCCACACCAATCTCAGTGTCTACTTGCCAAGTAGGTTATGCTCTTCAAATTTATGAAGTTGTTCATCTGAAGATCATTCAGTCTGCCAGGAGTAGCAATAACAATATCCACACCTTTGGTAACCACGTCTATCTGCCCTTTTCGGTTTCCACCACCATATATGCAAATACTGCAAAATAAAAGGTTTTACAGAAGCAGGCTATTAAAGTTTGACTGAAGCCAATCATTTTCAAATAAATGCCACCATGTCCCTTCATCTGAAAAAGTATCATCTGGTACGCCAGGAGGAAGGAACACAGTAAGTGTGACTGATGGTGTCACAGTAAGCAACAGACTCAACACTGAATGATACTCCCCCAATAGTTCAGCTTTCTGCTGAAATTTCAGTGACAGTAATCATGAAAGGAAGGCAGGCAGTTTTTAAGCTGTAATTACATTTTGGGTTGTTCTGAAAACATCCACACCAAAACCAGATGAATATATGAAAGAAAGGCATGATTTTCTAAACAGCACCATCAGAAGTCATATGTTTTCCTGTTAAAACAATCACCGTGCTCAGGAAGGTATGAGGCTTACACGCTCCGTAAAACTCCTTGGTATTTTTGGGAAGGAAGCAGAACATATCTTTCAGTATTTGAGAACTAGAAGGCTAACTCTGAATGCTACGCAAAGTTACCAGAGAGCCCTAAAAGTAAGTTTCGGGGTACAGTAATGTCTGTTTAATAGCTTAAATGAAGACCTTCGCTCTCATGAGGTCTGTGGATGAAGTCAAACTGGAAGGGGAGCAGTCGGTATAACAGAGGGCTAAGCTGTTACTCAGAAGAACCACAAAAGGCTAAAGAAATGGGCTATCAGGAATCCTGTCAATTTAACAATGGCCAAGATGGGGATGGAATTACCTCAGGGCCCACGTGCTAGAAGATGTCTTTGCAGAAAAGAATTGGATGGGCAAGAAACTGAATGCTATTCAGCAGCGTAACCCCACAGGAAAGCACGCCAGCTGTGTACTGTGGAGAAGGTAGCTAGCAGGTTGACAGAACCCATTATTCCCCTTTATTTTATACTTGTGAGACCACACCTCGAGGACAAGATCCAGTTTTTGTAAACCCCTGCCTCTACTATGAGGCAGAAATATCCATACTGGAGCAAGCCTGGCAGGCAGCTACCAAGACGGCCGAGAGGACTGAGTGCATGGCGTGAGAAGTTGGTAACCAGGCTTGTGCAGCCTGAAGAGGAAACGGCTCAGGGAGATCTTGTATAGCAGGGTGCCAAGAACACAGAGACTCTCTCTTCTCAGCTGGCCACATGGAAGGACAAGGAGCAACAGACAAAGCTACAATACAGAGAACTCCAACTATCACAGATTCACAGAATGGTTTGGGTTGGAAGGGACCTTAAAGACCATCTAGTTCCAACCCCCCTGCCATGGGCAGGGACACCTTCCACTAGACCAGGTTGCTCAAAGCCTCATCCAGCCTGGCCTTGAACACTTCCAGGGAGGGGGCATCCACAGCTTCTCTGGGCAACCTGTTCCAGTGCCTCACCACCCTCTCCAGGAAGAACTTCTTCCTGATATCTAATCTAAACCTCCCCACTTTCAAATTAACCCCGTTACCCCTTGTCCTGTCACTACAGGCCCTTGTAAAAAGTCCCCCCCAGCTTCCTTGTAGGCCCTATGTAAGAAATGTAAGAAACTATGTAAGAAACAGATTTTTCACCATCAGAGTAGTCAGAACAGGCATTCTAAGAACTAGGAAAATGCAGACTCTGCATTTACTACCTTCCCCTCTTAGCAAATGGAATTATTTTAGTAGGTGAATTAAGCCACAAGTGGTATGAAAAGAATTATTACTTAACAAGCAAGTGACAAGCAATATTACCTTTTAATTCCTTTGTACGAGTACTTTGAACACTCTGCCTCGACCTGAAGTGCCAGTTCTCGAGTAGGAGCAAGGACTAACATCCCTGGCCCCCCACGTTGATCTTTGGATCTGCAATAAAGTACCTTCAGAACACAGGTATATAAGGCTAGGCAAAGTCCATCACATCTGACATCGAATATTTTTATGCTGTTCTAGACATTCTCAGCACACTGCTACGAACAGAATCAATGGTGACAGGTCTGGTACTTACTCCACCAGGTTTATAATAAATCATAAAGTGCAAAAAAATCTATTATCTTTACTTTAAACTGTCACATGGAGGGTGGGGGAAGTATCCACAGCTAAACAAGTCAGACATGTGAACAGTCCTTACACTGGTTGTGAAGTCAAGTGAATGAATCCAGGCATTAAGTATGCTAATGTCTTCCCGGTACCGGTCTGTGCTATACCAATAAGATCAGTTCCTTGGAGTATGATCGGCCATGCCTGGGACTAACATAAAGCAACAAATACTTAAATGTATTTTTCTCTTAAGCTTCAGTTAAAGAGTCATCAAAATTGAGGATATACCTGAACTGGTGTAGGTTTTTGAAAACCAGCTTTTCTTATATTAGCCATAATATCAGGGTAATGCTCAAACACATCTTCAAATTTACAAACAGGATTGGGAATGCAGCGCTTTTCGCCTTCTTTTAAGTCATCACAGATTATATTATTATTTTCCTTCCTGTAGAGAATTAAAGAAGTACAATTGCTTGAAAGCCTGAAAAAGTAGAGCTAATATAAAAGATTGCCTTTCTGACTTTTTTTAAATCCCTGAAACAATAAAAAATACTAGTTCAGGCTCTTGAATGAGACTTACAACTATTCTTCTGACTTTTAAGAAAGGCTTACTACAGAAACACTTCTTCCGAAGGCATCAATTACCACTCTTTCTTAAGAATGACTAAGTTATATATGGGTATTAAGATGAACAGCAGTCCTGTCATACCAGACTTCAGTTATACTCTATTACAAATTATATAGCTGTGACAAGTTTTTAAACCTAAAGACAACCTAGAACTCCTAGGAATGGATCAGACTTCTTTCTCAGCACCCTATACTCTGACAAAAGCCTTCCCAAAATATTTTCAGAGCAGGTCCCTGGATGCTCTAGGAAACAAACAGAATGGTTTAGCAAAACAGAACGTGGTCAGTAAGGCAAGCTCAAAAACACCTCAGCACAAACTCATGTGACAAAAAAACAACCAACCAAACCCCAAACCACACAAAAGCTACATAAATCTGAGGTTCTGAGGCTCCCTCCCACCTAAGAAGTATTAATGCGCATAAGGAGTTTATCTTCATTCCAGTCCAAAGTGGACCAGAGTATAATCTTCTGAATATTCCATTCAGCAAACAGTTTTATTTCAGGCAGGGTTTGGGCCAGGAAAAGAATGGGTAATTCAACTTCCTCATGTTTGTATTTTTTTCTTCCAATTACTCTATTTTCTTCCTTAAAACAAAGACATGACATGACAAACACTCCTTTGTCACACGAGTGCTATTCCTCAATGCATGTTCTGAGCCTAAAGAACAATAGTTCTGTTGCTCCCGACTAGCTCCAACAAGAACACGTACACATCATTTAAGGAAACAGGTCTCAACTCCATGCTTCAGTCACCGTGGCAGTGTTTCTCCGGTGGGCACGCAAGAGAAGTGAGCAAGTCCACTTCCCACCTTCTGGGCGTTATACCTTATGAGTTATTTCTATAGGGAATCATCTGCTTGGCAAAAAGAATCTTACCGCCACAGTTCCACTTCTTCTGGTGACATAGATGCAGTCCTTGACGATTCTTTGTAGAAGTTTTTCTCAATTGGAGGCAAGCCTTAATCAGAAAACTTGAGTCAGTAAGAAATGCTAGAGATTCAGGGTAAGTCTGCTAAGGCTTAAGATGGGAATCTCAAATCCCAGACTGTGCTTTGTAATAGGAGGCTCATCAAAAAATGTTGTTTACGTCAAAGACGAAGGCTGAGACAAACACTTCCATATCTGCAAAAGCATCCCTTCCCCACATTTCAAGCTCTAAAGTAATTTCTACTAAACATATATAGTGCAATATTTAACAATTCTCAGATTTTTGCTGCAGCCACAAATAAAACAACAGCATTTTCAAAGGGTGGAGTCAAAATGCCAGTTGAGTAGTAAGTTTAAGTCTTCATACAGCAACCACAGCATCCTCTATGACCATCCTGAGAAATTCTGACACAGTTACCTCACTGCAAATGCTAAACTGATTTGGGCATGGAAAGATCCAGTCACCTCAAAGCAAGAATTAAAAACATCTAAGCATTCAACGGATTTATCATAAAAAGACAAGTACCATACAATCAAAATTTTAAAACTAACCTGCCCACTTCATAGCTTCGTATTTAGCTCTGTTTTCTCGAAGAGAAGCCCAGTTAATCACTGGTTTCTTTGGGTTATTTTCAGGCTTAATAATGTCCAAGGTTTTTCCTGCAGAGTTAATACCAAATTGCTGCTGTTTGATGGAATCTGTTGAAGGGTGGGGGAGACCCCACCCTTCAAAACAAACACCTTATTTTCTTTTTCTGTTGTAAGGCCTCTTACGTGATTTTGAACAGACACAAAGCATTTAAATACAAAATTCATTCCTAGGTCTTAGCCTGAAACATCAATAAAACCTGTACAATCATAGAATCACAGAACGTTTTGGGTTGGAAGGGACCTTAAAGACCACCTAGTTCCAACCCTCCTGCCATGGGCAGGGACACCTTGCACTAGACCAGGTTGCTCAAAGCCTCATCCAGCCTGGCCTTGAACACTTCCAGGGATGGGGCATCCACAGCTTCTCTGGGCAACCTGTTCCAGTGCTGTTCCAGTACAACATCCAGTTCTGATAAAAAAACAGCATTTCAACATGTTCAGCTACTTAAAGAAAGTAGTGACAGGTTTCAAAATGCTGCTCCTCCAGCTATAAATAAGGTTTGCTGTGCAGCAGGCTTCTGAAAAACTTGTGAACCTAGCAGACAGAAAGCTTTATTTTTAACAGCTACAAGAACAAGGTTTACTCCCAAAGCATCCAATGTCACCACAATAAAGTCTCAGTGTAGTTACGCTCTATAACCCTTTTTTGGTGAGGTTAACACTTCTGGAGAAAGAAAATTCTCACGCTGAAGATATAAATGGCAACACAACGACATCTTAGTGGAAAAGCAGGAAACACGGGAAAACAGTCACACGTACTACGGGACTGTTAACTATTTCTAGCTTCTTGAAACACACTTGTCCCCCCTCCGGGGCACACCTAAAAATCAAAACTCTCAACTACTCCATCGCTTACTCCAACACTGGGACACAACCCCCTGATCCCTTCTTCCTCACCAGTGCCTCAGATCAACAGCTACATGTGTTGTCTGCCTGTGCAAAAAGCCGCTGGGAGCACATACAAGACAAACGCCAGTAACATAAGCAGCATCTCAACGTACAGTTCGTTACTTACACACCCCCGCGGCAAAGCTAACACAATAAAGCCTAGTAAAGCGAGGCATGATGTGCAATGTCAAATCTTAACTTCCCATGAAAGCAGTGAGGAAGTCAGCATTGTCCCTGCTATCACCAGCACACCTGCTTTACAGGCTACATTTATAACAGTTTACTGGATTTTAATACTGCAGACACTACAGTAAAACTTCCAACTAGAACACACACTCCTGTGTTGGGGGATTCAGACTGGTAATGCAAGAAACCAGTTAGTGTAACATTCTGCATTCACTGAAATTGTTGAGAACACACAGGAACATGTTTTTCACAGACCTGTGAGGGAGGTAAGCCGTTCACAGCCAGGAAAGGAGGATGTCTAGGTAAGTATTTACCTTTTAAGGAGGTATGCCATTGTCCAAGAACAAGGTGAAAGTTAATTCACCTCAGTAAAATACTAATAATGTAAAGACACTCCAGCAAACTACTATATCTATAAAAAAACCAATCCATAGGGTTTTTTTCCCCCCCTCAAAACCACACACTTCTTACCTTTCTCAGTCCCACCTCTAATGTAGTTTTGCCCGGATCCTGTAACAGCATCAATCAACATCTTGGCTTTGTTTTGCACAGTGGCACTGCCAAAAATCTTTACTTCAGCTTCATGCGTTCCCTTTGTAACCTACGTTCATAAAACCTTACTGAGTTCTTTTTTAATACTGCAAAGACAAACATTATATAAGAATACATACTGAAAACAATTGTTGACTTGTTTTGGTTTTAAGTTCCTTTACCAGGAAGAGGCCCTTTAATTCCGTTTCGTAAAGAAAGGGAATTAAATGAATACCTAAGGGGGGGAGAAAAAAAAAAAAAGGAAAAAAAAAATCGGTGAGCTTTTCCTACTTTCACCTACCAGTCGAGTTGCACCTTCAACTCCACTTCCTTTTCACCCAGGACTGTAAAAGAGTGGAGCATTACAGCTACTGCAACACCCTCCAACTTGCTGCAGTAGCTCTGGTTCACAGGGAAGCCAAACCAAACACGCTCCCAACACAGTCCAGGCTTGGATAACACACAGCACACACGGTACCTTTATTCTGGAACCCGAAGAATCCTCAAGTTCTCTTATTTTCGTTCCGCCTCGACCTGTTATAAAGATACAGTGCAGGTATTACACAAATTTTGCCCCAAATGTCAAAAACTACACAGTAACTATAACTATTTATTTGTGACCAAAACCTAAGACCTTCCTATGAGCGCAGGCATCCGTAAATACAAACTTATGACACCAAAGCGTTGGAGAACACAGGTAACTCACTTTTCTGGCAGTTAACCAAAGGCAAGGTGCGCGCAGCGGGGAGGCACCTCAGGTGAGGAGGGTGGAGCAGCAAAAGCAGCTCGAGAGCGCCACCCCTCCCCCACATGCCCAGAGAGGGGCTTCAGCCCTCTTACAGCTCGCCCGTTATTACCTATGAGCGCCCCAACCAGGGCCCTATCCAGGTGGAAGCAGAGGGGCGCCGCGGCCTCCCGAGCTCCGCCGGCGGCGGCTG